TTTAATCAAATGTAATCAGTAAATTTTGTATTAATTGAAACCTTTAAAAGTAGTAAAATGCATTTCCAAATTTAAATTATAATTTATTTTTTATTTTTAATTGTTAACTTGAGTTCCGCAAACAGAGAATGCGGCTATTAAATTTCTGCAATTGTGTTTTGCGGTTTTGTTATCCCCGCATATTTGCTTTGCGATTTTATACCTTAATCGTTATTGATTTATTTTTAATTGACGATTAATTACTTAACTAGGTTCTGGATCGTGCGTCCGCACGGGTACAAAATAGACTAATTTAATACTTTTAAATCAAATGTGTTATGTTATTTAGCGTGTCAATGGCGATTAATTAGTGTAATATTATATAAACTACTGCACTGTATTAATAAAAATGTACACAAACTATAATTGTCATATCAATTATAAAAGGCAACAACAGTTTATTAAAAAAAACCCAAATGGTGAAAGATAAACAAAGATGCAAACATGAAAATTACATGATCTGATGCTTTCTTATTCATCAAAGGCCGTTTAAATACAATGGAACATGCTTTACACATCAACTATATATCTAAGCTTTATATACCTCATATTCCACAATACATAAATACTGTAAACGGTTCCAGCATGTTTGGAGAAACCAACAACACTATATACACTTAAGAATTGAAGGGAAAACCTTTTTCGATGAGAAGTTGGTTGTAGATTTCATGCCCACAATATCCATGTGTTTGGTTTCTCCCGAGCTTTTAACTAAAGTAGTTTTTCTTTTATGTCAAGAAGACAATAAAGACAAAGTCTGTAGCACCTCTTCTCACAAATCTATCTGCAAGTGCATCACATTTAAAATTTCAAACACAAAAAGTAAGATTTTCGTAGAAATAACTCCTAATGTGAACAATGGTAATGTTTCGTAGAAGAGTACATATGATCCTAATATACAGGAGCGTGACATGAAATTGATCCTTCACACATAAATATTGACACAAACATAGCAAACTAGATTCGTACTATATTGTCAGTTTTTTCTTTTTTTTTGGACCTTCTATCTCACACAAATAGAGACATCCTTTCTTCTTCCTCCTCATTTTATCAGAAAGAAAGATTATTAGGCTCTGTTTGGTTGGATTGAATTGGACCCAAGAATTGGAATTAGAGGCCCTCAATTCCAATTATTGTGTTTGGCTGAAAAAATAGGGGTTCTGGAATTAGAATTATAATTCAAGATGAGGCTTAATTCTTTATTTTCAATTCTTTTGTGGGAGCAAATAATTGTAATTCGAACTCTAGGGGCTTTAGAAAAAACGCGAGTCACATACGGGTCGTTTTCCGGGTTATAACGAAACGGGTCCTTTTAAGTTTGAGCTTTTTTTTTTTTTTTTTGCAGTGCTGCACATGCGCTGTTTTTCCTTTTTCTTTTTCGTTTTTTTTCCCTTTTTCTTTTAGATTTGGGCTTTTTTCTTTTTTTTTTCCTTTTTTTTTTGCATTTTGTTAAATTAACATATGTTTTTATTTATGGTGCAAACGAGGTGTACATCATATTAATAATTATTAATGAGATCTATATATTAAAATTAGTATTCTTTTAACAAAAACTATCAAATGTATAATGACATCCGTAATTTATTTTAAAAATGGATGGTATTAATTATGGGTTAACATTTTTTTATCAAATGTATTTTGAACTATACTTGAAATTTTTTTCACTAAAAATTATGTAAGCTTTCAAGAAGTCGAAATATATATTATTCTATATGTAATTGTATACTAAAAATAAAAAATAATTAATTAGCACCATGTATTAATGTTAATCTATACATACATGAATGGTCTTTACTTTCAACTATATAAAAATTTTACACTAAAACCCAAAAAAAAAAAACTAAAGATTAAAAATTTATAAAATAATAAAAAGGAGAGGAACAAGGATGTTCTACATGTTACTTGTGAGAATTCCAATCATCACATTCATACTTACGTAATAATAAAAAAAGGTTTTCCACAAGTATGTATGTATCTATAAATTATAAAATTGATATATATTACTCAAACAACAAAAGTTCTAATATAAATGTATATGATAAATTTATTTTTGTTATCTTATATATGTAAGTAATAAATTGCTTTGATATATAAAATTAAGTATTTATTTTATTCAATGAAATAAAGTACCAAACTATAGTTAGATAATAAAAAACTAATTCTAATTCTAGATTTTATAAATTTATAAGGATCCAAACACAAGAATTGGTATTAGAACCTTAATTCTAGTCAATTCTTAAGATCTTCCAAACAAAAGAATTAAGATTGAATTGCAATATTAATATCTCATTTTCAATTCAATAGTATTGTAATTCTAATTCAATTACAATTCAATCTAACCAAATGGTAACCTTAGAAAAGTCACACAATCACAATATCGCACGCTCATGTAAAAACAATAAAACTTCTCTATCAAGCAGTGTTCTTAAGCTAAAAATAATTGCCAGCTTTCTAATTTCGTTTTCATCAAGGCATAAAAATGGAATATTTATACAACAGTTTCGTAGATAGCCACATATAAAGATGTAACAAAAGATAATTGATGGTATTAGTGTGATTATAAAATGAAAAGATATAATTTTAATACATGTAAATCGATTTGAAGTAGTCAGGATTACATGCTTTTATCCTTAATGGAACACACATTCTTACATTAACACCAGCATTGAGTTTATATTTAAGGAATTAGTCTCAAGCCACATCGACTAAAACATGGTATCCAACTATCAATAAGTATAACTCATTGATAGAAAAGTTTACCCAAACACCACCGCAATATAAAAATTATTCAAACTCCAGCTTGAAATAAACTGATATACCCGAAGATGTTTATCTGGAAAACATAAACAGCAAAAGTAAATCTTGAATACTACAGAAAGCATGTATATCTTTCAAAACTTGTAAGAAAATCAAGATACTTAACTAATCGTATCATATTCCCTTCCCTAAGAGCCTTTTATATCTAATAACATTAACCCAAAATAAGGTTAAGTAGTAGCTGGTATAACAGCAACATACTTTTCAGGTTCTATTGTAATGGACAATTTAAATATCATGAGCCACATGATAATAAAATAGAAAACGTTAAATAGAGAACATCAATCTTCAAAATAGAAGTTTCTTCTCTATTAATCGAATAACACAAAATTAACAAAGAAATTTAGGTTTTGGTCTTAATAGCAGAAATTAAGTTCTATTTTCGATAAACATGAGCGCAGTTATGACGGTGAAATCTGATTTTTCTTCCTTAGATATTTCTCAACTTTAAACTTTAATTATGACCATAGATTAAAGAATCCGGACATGAACCCCGTCAATGTAAAAAACTTTAATTGTGACAAAAAAATGATGGTAAGATAGCCAGACAACATCAGTTAAAAGAAGCAAACATCTTTTTGTGATTAGAAAATACCTTTTCATGGATGGGGATAGGGTAAGCTTCGTTTATAATCTAGGGAGTCTTTGGGGGTTTGTTGAACTCGACAGTCGTTGATGGCTGCTTCAATCTTCACTTCCCATAATTATTTGTGAAGGGGGAGATATTTGAGTTTGATGATAGATTGCGGTGATTATTGCCATTGGAATTGGAGGAGATTTTCACGTTCGAAAATATTTGAGTGGGTAGTTTCAATTAACTATTTGATGATCATGCAAATTTTAATTTGTGGTAGAAGCGATGGAATGGAATTTTTCGAAAAGTAACTGTAATTTAAGGTTATGGTTATATTTAAGTGTGGCTAAAAATTAGGGACATGGAGGAAAGAATTTAGGATGTGAAACGACATTGGTTTTGGGTAGGTGATTTTGGGGGGAAAACTTGGATTAATAGCCTGGCACATCAGCTTTTAGAATTGCATAGATTGATTGATTACCATCAAACAACACTGCGCATTCCTTGTTTGCGGTTTTGTTTATCCGCGTTCTCCCTTTGCGGTTTTAATATTTATCCGCATTTGTATTTTGCTGTTTTGTGTGATTTCCGCATTTGTCTCCTGCGGTTTTTCTGTTTGTTCCGCATTCCAGTAATGCGGGAACGGTATTGGAGGCTACCTAAAAAATTCTGACCGTATAATGTTCGACATATAGGGTTTTGAGCTATAGTTTTGTAATCATCTATTGAATTGGTTAAATTGGCCAGATTTTGGCACCTTTCCTAGATGATAGAGATAAATAATACACAACAAAATATACCTAAAACCAAACAATGCAAAGAGAACTATGATGCAATGAAGTTCCAATACTGATCTGATCGAATAAAAACTGAATGAAACTAGGAAAAAATACAAGCTAAATCTAGGTGTTCCAGATGTATTGTCATCCCTCTATTTTTTTTTTTAAAGAATCTATAAAGCCATGTTGGACCAGTACCTTTTTCATCATATCCGCTGCAGACACACCCTACAGAGCAAAAAAACCAACGCTCCTGAAATTGGAGAAACGGGATACTCCTAAAAAAGTGAGCAAAAGCTCCCGAAAATGGAAGAGCGAAACTCCCATTTGGGAGGGCTACCTAGAATAAAGAAATTAAAGGCCCATGAATGAAGAATGGGGGAGAAAGGGGAAAAAAATTCTTGGTACTCTAGAGAGGAGGAAACAAGGGTAGAGATGGAGTCGTAGCAAATCTGTTTCTTCAGCCGAATCAAATTGAGTTCTAGGCTCCTCACTGCCTGGCCCGCCCGGGGGACGCGTCAAACAAAAATAAAAAGAAAACAAAAGGAACATTTCTTTCCTAGTCCAATTATAAGGCATTTTGATTTTGTCTAAATTTCATTTATTGTACTCTTTCAATTAAATATAGAACTTTAAAAAATACATTTTCATATTTACTGTGTCCTCTCAATATTATGAAATATTTTTAAAGTTTTATTTTCAATTCGGAGAAACAAAATAAATGAAATTTAAGAAAAATCAAAATATTTTATAATAAGTATCCTATGAAGTATATTTCATTGATTTGTGAACAAGATTATAAATTTATAATTATTTGAAAAACATTACAAGATAGAACAAAGTACTCCATCACAGTCAAACGCTTTGAACTCTAAAGTCAAGTCAATCTAGTCTTCTTTCTTTGTGTCTTCCCCTTTTGACTTATGTTAAAAGTAAACTGAAACCCGAAAATCCATGATCATATATATCATCATGCATGTGTACGTACTAAACCTCCCATAATGGCTTCTCCGCCGCCGCTTGTTCCCCATGAAATGGATCCATTATATGCATTCCTGGCTGCTGATGAATGTTATAATTTGGAGGTGGTCTTGATGCTCCTCCAATCCCCAAGAAATCCACAGTCAACACATCATTCCCCGCATTTCCTCCCCTCATACCCACCGCCGCCGCAGCTCCACCACCCCCAGTTCTTCCCATGGTTCCGGCGGTATCCACCTGATGATCATGGCGTTCTTGCAGATTCCTCATGAATCCGACCGTGGCGGGGTTCTGATCATTAGTACCACTACTCATTAGCATCCCGCCGTACATTGCCATATCATTCATTGCTGAATTATTCGCCGTCCCGGCACTGAAAAACTGTTGATGATGATGGTGGTTGTTAAGTCCGACTAAGTTTGATTGCTCCAGCGGCTGTTGTACTGTAGTTGGAAAATTCTCGTACGAGTTATTATTATTGTTATTATAAGTAGTTGTTGGTGTTGTTTTTGGTGGAGAGATTTGATTGTGATCGGGACCGGCCATTCCGGTAACGAAGGTTTTCTGCATCATCGGAGAGCTGATGCTGTTATTGGTGGCGGTGGCTCCGAGCTGGGCGGCTCTCTGCAACAATGCGGTGGCGGACATGTGGGGTGACCCGGAGAGAGAAAGCGGGCCGGATCCGTTTTTCCCGTCGGACTGGAGGTAACTGTTGAAGGTCGAAGCGCCGCCGCCGTTTGATGAGCTTAACTGGAGCCCGGAGGATGATGTTGAAGGCATGCCTTTCGGGCTGCCGAAAAGTGTGCCGGAAGTGGTGCTGGAAAACATGCCGCCGCCGACGATGTTCATGGGCTTGAATGGGACGAGATCGTGAGGGAGTGATTTTAGTGGGTTTTTTGGGTCGAAGTTGTTGAAATCGGAGAGGCCCATGGAGGCATTTGGGAGAGCGTTGGACATGAAATCCGGCAATTGGCCGCCGCTGCTCATTAGGCCTTGGTTTACTTTGTTGTTCTCTTCGGCCAGTGCATCGCAGAATGCCCTGTGAGTGATGAAGCTGTCTCTCCTGCAGAAGAGATAAATTTGTTTTTAAAGAAAATTTAACATGAAAAAGATTGTACTAGGAAAAATGTGACTTTTTCTTTCTAACAATGGCTTATTGTGCGTGGTTTTTACTTTACGGTTCTACTTTCACGCAGTTCCCATAAGTAAGTAATGATTTTTTTCACATATTCTATCTTTTTCAAAATGATTGTTTGGTTTAAATATTCATTATTGATACAAATTGTACTAAACGTAAAAATTATCTTTGAACAGAAATAATTATTCTAGTTCACTATGTGAAGTTTCAACCAAAAAAAATAATGTTATATTTGAGATGAACAAAATATTGATAAATCTCATCATATTTCTCTTGTAATGGTGTGAATTTGTCAAGTCATTACTACTGTTTTGTTTCAAAGGGTGTATTGTTCTAAATTCTGCAATGGGCCAAAGTTTTCTAAAATTATTGATGCATATTTTTCACATAGTCTCCTTATTCTTAAATATATACGGTCACATATATATTATGAAGTTGGCGCCTTAGAGGAGTTTAAATGATTATGCAAACCGCTAAAAAACAAATAATCAACCATCACTGATATTGATACTACTTCCCCAGTGCCGAAGTCATTATCCAGTACAGTATTAATATAGAGAGTACTAAAAATACAAAATCAAACTAAACAATAATTTTTTTTTTTTTGAAAATGTAAACAATTATTTAAAAATAGATGGAATACTTATTTAAAATCTTGAGGCACCAAAAGCGAAGTTATGTAGAGAAGTATTGGAGACATACCTAGAGAAAATGGTACCACAATCACATTTGTATTCCCTGGTGCCACAGGTCTTTTGGTGAGCTTTCCAGTCAGATTGCACTGCATATTTCTTGGAGCATTTGTCACATTTCCATTTCTTCTCCCCGTGTTTCCTGCTGTAGTGCTTCTTGATTCCGGTGAGATCCCCTAATGCTCGGGCCGGATTGTGGTGGACACAGGTCGGCTCCGGGCAGATGTACACTCGTTTTCTCACCTCGGTGGTGGTTCTTTGCCGGAGCTTCCATGGAAGATTGTGTCCTCTTCGGTGCAACTGGAGGTTTTGATCCCTTTGGAATCCCTTGTTGCATATTTCGCACACAAATCTGTTTGTCGCCATGAGAGTTGTTGGTGAGAGGGCAACAACTTCGGCCGTTGGATCTACACCACAAATTTCAAGCCAAAAAGATACATAGTCATGCATCCTTCAATAAAGAACTTGAACATTTTCTTGAATACAAATATTCTTTTTGTCCCTAAATGATTTTTCAATTGAAATTTTTATTTTTGGAACATAGTAATTTTTTGACAGAAGGAGCATAAATTATATTTGAAGTATCTGTGTGCATAAGTTCTTTCTTAATTACTTTAAACATAAAAAACTTATACAATCTTGCATAATAAAATTAACTCGTGCCACATGGAAAACGCATGAATATTTTCAATGTGGTTTTGCATATGGTTGAATAATTCAACAATACGTATTATTGAAGAATTTCGTTTCACAATCATGTATAGCAAAAATTTTAATCCGCTTTATGTTGAGCAATTTAGTCCATTGAATGAAATGTATGAAAGCCTTCTATATTCCAGATAAGTGTGAATAAAAAAAGAAGAAGAGGGGAGTCGAGAAAAGTGTACAATCAAGCACAGTGTGTGAGATCAATTATTGCAATTTTTGCTCCAACCAATTATTTGACAAGATTTTTGAATGAACGTTTGAAATATTTAAATGAAATCTTGCTTTCATTTATGACTACACTATTTTCCCGTCGATCGCTACTAGCTATAGAATAGTATATAGCTAGACTACTATTTCCAGCTTGAAGATGCATGAAACTATGAACATTAATCTTTCTAATCAACTTTTTATGTTATCAGGTGTGTGAAATATCGAAAAAAAATTTAATTAAGTAAACCTTTAAAGTGTACTTTCCTTTTTGGTTCATCTATCATCATTCTTAACTACTATAATTAGTACCTTTCTAAATTACTTCATCACTTGATCCTCAATATGATTATGACATGCTACTAAATAACGGAACAAACATGCATTAGACTTCCAAGATTCATGTGTATTTCAACTAAATTAAATCCTCCAATAATTGGGATCCCAAACCACTCAATTAAAGAGATGAAAAAAGAATGTACTTATACTTGTGAGTTGTGATAGACGTACGAAATACTCATAAGTGTAGAATTGTCGTCGTTGCAACACTGGCTCAAATTTAAAACCTAAATCTCCATATTATAATGATCTCTTTCCTCTACAACCTTCAAACCAGCCATTTCTACAAACAGCTTGGTAATAAGATCAACTTACAGCGTGAAAATTAATTTGAACAACAAGATTTTTATCTCTTCTCTTCTCCTCTATTCGTTTCTTTTCTTCAATGTTTTGTTTTTCTGGATCATGTCAACCAATAATCCAATCTAAAACGGATCAAAAAAATTTCGGTTACAATATCTCGCCCTTACTACCTTTTTTAGAATATGGAAACTAACTATCTACTCTAATTAATTAACATTCAACTCACCTGGCGTTCCTGGTAGATTTCTTTTCTTCTTGCCTTGTTGCTGTTGCTGTGGTTGCGAGCCCGGTTGGCCATTGGTATTATTATGGCCGGCGGCGGAGTTTGAAGGCTGAGGCTGAGGTGGCTGCTTATCTTGATGGACCTCATCACCTGAAGAAAAGCTGCCATCATCACCAGCTGAAAGGTTTGACATCTGATGATGATTATAATTACTGTCCTAATTATAAGTATTAATCTAAGCTAGATTTTTTGGTGTTAATGCTCGGTGTCTTTTTCGTTGTTAACTGCTAATGATGATGGTGTGTGGTGTTAATTAATCTAGGGTTTTGGCTTGTATTTTTGGGAGAACATAAATTCAAGAGTTTTGTTTGGAATTGCGGAAGACAAAACAAAAAGGTAAGGAATTCTCCTCTCTGTTTCTGCACTTTTTGATGGAAGAAGGGGGGATGATGATAAAACTAGCTAGCTTTAGCTAATTTGGTTTTGCTACAATAATTTCTTTGGCTTCTATAGAATATATATAGTACTGCTAAGATAGAATGATTGGTAAGTAGTTAAATGGCCCTCAACTTTGTTCATTCGGACAAATTATTAAATAGATCTAATAGTCTTTGAAGGGGTCCACTGCCCCCTGAAATGAAATAGAAAAAGAATATGTTCCTTGTTAATGTCCGACTAATGATAGGGATATTGATTAATATAACTTCCTTAATTAATGATAGATGTTTAGGGTAACAAATTTTGGACTTATGAATGTATGATTGAAAACTTTGAATTTCGTGTGTACCCACTGCCAATTTATCGAGATTTCTTTTAAAAGTTGTGATGATCGTTGATCAATATTGCGATTACATTAAGTTGAACCCAAGTTATTTAATACTGATTATCAAAGGGAACCTAAGTTTACAAAGTTAAACATGCATATGTAAAATATTGTGCCCAGTATTATTTTAAAAATGAGGGTGCAAAGCATCTGGAAAGGGGAAAACACACTCTATTGTCGCAAAAATACTAATTTATTTTTGTTGAACTAAAACAGTATAATAATAAACTAAATTATTTTTCTAGGGGCAATTACAATGGACTTCGGTGACAAATTGAAGTTCGAGAGTTGGATTGTAAGAATGGAGAATTGGAATCTAAATCACGGCAGGAGAAACAGAAAAATAAAAATAAATATAAAACTATTGCTTGGTGAAGAACATATTTAATTAAGATCGAGCATCAAAATACCAAAAAGTAACTTTGGTAATCACTTGTTCATTTATTGTCTTCTTGAGTATATATAATTCAAGTACAATCTAGCTTCTTAGTATTGCTACGAGATGAAGGAAAATTGCATTAAAAACTGGGGTCTCTTATGATCCTCTTCGCCGAATTTTCAGTAGTTACGTAAACTGTAGTTTATTAAAAAGTTCCATGCAATTAAATAAAATTTCTTTTTTTAACCTCTGTTCTCCAAAAATTCATCCAGATCAAGTGAGAATTAGCTTGTATATATAGGATTCGTGTATTTTCATGATTACGGTTTAAAAAAAAGTTACAGTTTGAAATTGCCTCCCCTACAAAAAAAAAGAAAAAAGAAAAGGAAAGACAAGATTAAAATTAGTAGAATATGCCCTTTTTTGATTAATTCCTGGGGTCCCTGTCATGAATTATACAAAATAAGAAAGTTTGATGTGAAATACAGGCCAGCAGGATCTTGACGTCCCAAATAATGCTAATAATCAATGAAATGTCGTTATCCGATTTTGAAATTCTCTCTTAAATTAAATAATTTTGTAGCTACATTTAATTTCGTGTTTGTGCGTATATATCAATCCTGGGGATGTCTATATTTACAGAATAAGGAATCTATCGGCTTAAATGGTTTTCAGTTTTCACTTTCACCACGAACGCAGCACCATTTGATTAGGTCAATTTAAGAACTGTAAATAAAGATTGTATTGAAGAGATAACTAAAATTTGTCAAATCCCTAATCGTCGTTCCTAAATTCTTTGGTCAAGTAATTCACCTATCGAAAAACTAATATATGATTCAGTGGAAAAATTAGTCACTATTATTTACGATATGCATTTTCGTGATATGAAAAAGAAAAACTACTGCTTAAAAGAACTACATAAGAAAGTAACCATACAACTGTAACTCTTAGTTAAACCTAAGAGTCCATCACTTCGACAAAAATGCGGATTTCTTAGTGTCGTCTTTATGTCATTCGAAAGATTGAAGCATCCAAATGGTACGGCAAATTTCAGTTGTAAAAGACGACACATCCTTATAAACTGGAATTGGGATCGTCTAAATGGTAAACTTTAAACTAATGGTTGAAAAAAAAAAACTGGCGGTAAAATTAAAATTTTTTTAGTGTCCAGCCAAAATTCATGAGTAATATAGGAAGAATATTCACGAGTAATATATTGGCGTCCGGGATATTATTACTTACAATATAGAGGCAAAATTAGCAACTAGCGAAGAGATAAAACCCTATAGAAATAGACTAAATGGGAAATTCAAAAAATACTTCCTAGTCTATTTGCTAAATTTCGGAAGAAATATTGGCATAATATAATTTACCAATTAGACGGCCATGCTCATGATTTATTCATCTTCCAATTTCACGAAAAACATATATATCAACCTCAATTGTGATTCTCATTAGTAATCATAATCCGATATGATAATAAGGTAAAAAGAAAATTTAAACTTTTACCGGCCGTAAGAAAGTGCATCCTTAACAATCAGATCAAAAAACCCTAATTCGTTCTCATTATAAAATTTCGGTTTCTACAATCTCAGTTAATTTGGAGGGAGATAACGGCATTGAGCCAGCTTGATCCAAAACCCTATTGTTATGTTATTTACGACGAGGACTGGAGAACCAAATATATGAAGAAAATGATCAAACCTACTTTTCCTATTTTTAACCTCAAGACAAATTTGTGCTTTTGCATTTTGCAGTTTGGACAACAAGAATTTCAGATTGACTTAATGATGAAACCCCTGGGGTTACAAAACAAATTTCATACGTACGCAAGTTACGATAACTGGTTAAACAAAAAAAAAAAAAAGTTACGACAACCAAAGGCAATTTCCTCAAATTGAATTAGCATAAATGTATTATTATTAAACGATAGTGGTTTCCTAAGAAATTGTGCCAAGTCGTATGTTTCCTCTCAATGAAACGTTAAATTATATATACTTTACTTATTACTTCATATTAACCAAACTAATTGTTTAATTGTCTAGATATAGGGTTGTATTAGAGCATTCATGAACAGAGAAAGAGGAAGTCCGGCCAAAATTTTAATTGACAATAAGAAAAGAAACAAGAAGACAGTATCAAGAACAAGAAAACATATGCTACCCTCTAATTTTATGGTCAAAAGCCAAATATTGTTCTTTGGCCAATTGCTAAAATTCAGTGTTTGCAATGCTGCTGTTTCTCCATCCATCATTCATTACTGTGATATACATACATATATATGATTTATAGTACTATTATGTACATAAAATTAAATGTTACAAAAAAGAAAATTAAATTAATGTTTTCTTTTCTTGGGTAATATCGACTATCTTCGATGTGTTTGATGTAACAATGAATTTTTAGGTAATGACGGGCACTTACAGACACAATTCAAGTCAATTTCTTAACCAATTTTTTAAATGGAACACAAAACGTTAAAGCCCAAATAACAGAGGATGGGACAAGGATTTGGATGTGAAAGTAGAGTCCAAATTGCTGCTAATGGACCTCTTCTGGAGAGAACCAACCAAAAGGACGGCCATTCCGTTCAAACACATTTTGATATTTCTTTTGGCATTTTCACTCTTTTTTTATAATTGAAAAAAACCTTAGAGTTAAAATTTAATATCCCAATTTACATGATGATGTTGACCTCGAAGATTTTCCATAAATTACCCCATCATTGTATCTCTCCATTTTTTTTATTCATTGCATTTTATAATTAATTTCTCAAGTAATATTATTATTATTATTATTTTTAACTAAACTATTACTATCCTTACAGAAAAGACGTCATTAGGAATAAAATTCTGAATGTCTTTGATAACGAATAAAGGAGATCAATCTTGTTGTAACAATGATAGTGATTCGAAATTAATTAAGCATGTTAGATTTCTTTCGAAAGATGAAACTCACCCAATGAATATATTTATCACTATTTTATTTGCTACGAGTATTTATCATTATTTTCTGAATCATTTTATTTTACAAGTTTGTTTTCCTTATCATTTGTTGTTTGTACCTCAGGACTGTCCTGACTGTATGGTGTCGAGCTGCATAGTTCTTTACGAAAGTAACACTCTTCCAATTCAAGCATTCATTTATATTCATAATAAAATTCATCCAATATATTTACCACCTTAATTAAGTGCTCAATAGTCATTTCTCCCATCATTAATCACTAGTTACTACATGACCGTTAATTTTGAAATCTCCCAAAGTAAAAGTATAGATGTCATATCAATAACCCCTTGAGTACTTTTGCCGTCTCCAAAAGAAACTACATAATATTTGCTAAATTAAAATGTTAATGACTCTTAGTACTCATTTTGAAATAAATGGTGACTCATTCTATTTATTTTGACTTTACATTTTAACCATAATTCTATTGCTAAATTTTTTGCTTACGTGACATGTTTTATGCATACATCAGCCGTTCAGCCAAATTCTTTTATACTTTTAGGTTAATTTTATCCACGAGCATTATCTAAATTTCTAAAAACAATCAACAACATTACATTTCATTATTTTGCTATATATTTTCACTTCATACATCATTTTCTTCCTTTATTCATCTCTTATTTTTATGGAATTGAGGTGAAATGATTCCCATAAGAAAAAAAATAAAAATTGTGTTTTATTCTTTTTATCTTAAAAATTAATTTATATTAAATTTTAAAATTTGTGCTAAAATCATATTAATTTATTTTTTGGCATATTAAAAATAATATTAATTTCGAAAATCAATAGGACTATTTTTCTTAAGACAAAGTGAATAATAAAAAGTTAGTAGTGAATCTTCTTTCCATTTGAAATCCATTTTGGAGACCCATCGAAGCCCAAATTCCATCCAACCAACAGCCCACTCAAGGAAATACGTACAGAAAGGACCTGATTCAGCCCATACAAAAGAAGTAGGAATAATAAGAAGTAGGACCTGACTGTTTACCCGCACTGTTTCTAAAATAATTGACTTTTTAAAGTTTCACTTCTAGTATAATTTATATTAATAAAAAAGTTTAAATCAGACAATTATTTTAAGGTAAAAAAGTATTTTTTCTGTTTACAAAAAACAGTCCACATTGAATTTTCGATTTGTATCGTCTTTAGCAAAAATTTGAAAATTCAATGTTAATTTTTTTTTTTTTTTGACAAAGGTAGTAAGAACTTTTTTTATTATCAGTGTATTATCATTGGATGGTTTTTAACAAAATGACTAGAGTAATGGTTATATTAAAAAACGTGATGACGGGTACTTTACTGGTTCTCTGCTTTTTAGCTTACGGTTCTTGTTCCCTGGCAAGCAGCTAATGGATTAAATAGAAGTAGTGGGATGCTGAT